TAAAATCAAAAGTTACATCAAGGGGATCGTAGATTCCCCGCTTGACACATTCATCATAACATTTGAGTTTTTTATCAAGCTTTGCTCGTATAACTTGATCTGATACATGAGAAAAATTCTGTTTATTCTTCCACAATTTGGTGACTTCTTTGGAAATTTCCACTATTCGCTCCTTTCTTCCTTTAATTTTTGGTCCAAGGAAATGATAGCGTCTGATAATTTGCTTTTGGAGAGGTCTTCTTCTTTTTTCTCCGAGTGAATATTCTTCCAAAGGGATTATTCTTCTTCTTTTATGAGAATCTTCAAACTTTACTAGATTATTGGTGCAGACATCCTTGTTCTTCTAAATGCTACTATTGCTAGGCTTGTACGACGCCATGTGTAGTTAACTATCGCCATGTTAACTATAAAATTAGATGAGCAGCTTTATATAGTCTAAAATGTTCTAGAACATTCCCAAATGTTCTAAATTGTTCTACAATGTTCAAAATATTTTAAATTGTTCTAGAATGTTCTAAATTGTTCCAGAATTTTTTAAATTGTTCTAGAATATTTTAAATTCTTCTGTTATTTTCAAATATGTTCTAAAGTTTTAAACATTTCTAATCTATACAAGTTTTGAATGATTTGGAAAAAAACCACACGTATTAGTAGTAGCAGTAGCAAGATTAAATAAATGACGAAATGTAATTTGAATTGCTGGGTGATTTTTTTTTACAACCGAGAAAAATTGAACATGTTTTCAATGTTTTCTAATAAAAGTTCATCGATTTATGACGCACGAAATTAATTTATTTTTAAAAATTCAAAATGGTTGTCACAACTCTTAAAACACCTTCGCAAATACCATTTTTTTTATGGTGCCCCAAATATCATGGTGCCTCACTCTGGTACAAGTATCATGGTGCCTATACTTCTCTAGTAAATCATGCTGCATCTTTTTTTAATTTGTTTTTCTTTGACTTTTTTTAGTGAAAATTTTTAGCGCAGTTTTTATAATAGTCTTATATTTAGGTATTGGGTTTTTTAAGAGCTTTCTGTAAAGCTTTTGTTTTATTTTTGAGGATTTTTTAAGATCTTTATTGACTTTTATAGAGTTTCAATAAGTTTACTTTATGGAAAATTAACATCATATATTTTATAGAAAGTTTGAAAAAATGCGTCGTACACTTCATTTGCTTCAAATGAACTGTTTTTATAGTTCAAATTTATTAGAAATAATTAATTTGTAAACAATTCAAGATTTGAATTATAAAAGAAGACTTTATCATGCTTTTGTGTTGGACTTATAAAATACTGGGCGATAACAGCAGTTTATAAGTATGTTTATAGTGCTATTGATTAAGGTTCAACCGTTTAAACCTCTTTAAACCTCTTTAAACCTCTTCATTACCATCAGAAATAAGCAGGTCTGTTATTAAACCTCATTATTATATAAAAAAAGAGCACCACCAAATATTTGAGGTTTCCTCTATTTAAACAGAGCTGACAACACTGGCGAGGAAGGTGGTCGGGGGGTCTATAATTTGCCACCTGGTCCCTCTTCTTGCTTTTTGGATCATGTTATCTATGCACGTGGAATAGTTGAGCGAGAAAGCAACACTGGATACAAAAGAAATAGCCTATTCACAACAATGAATGAATCCATTTGTTAGCAGAAATAAAATCGTTTTTCCATTGCTCCATCTAAAACTTGGTCTCACAAAACAATTTGTTATAGCACTAAAAACTGATAATTTTTGTTTTTGGTGTTTAGTAAAAACATTACCTGGTTTGTCATTAGAAAAAAAAAAACCAGAATTTTTGATTAGTCACAAATTGGCTAATTTATAAATGATGAAGAGCTTGTTAATAATAATATTAATTAGTTAATGAATAGGAGAAAACCGGCAAAACAGTTATCCCAGTGGGCACACGACGTTATTTCGACGTTGATTTACAGTTGATTTTTAGTCGCGACGTCGTATAACCAAAAATCAACGTTGTATCAACGTTGAAAAATTTGTTTAAAACTATCAAATAAAATCGACGTTGATTCTACGTTAATTCAACGTCTATATTACGAGTTCGATCGTTCGTAATTGCAATATGATAACTAAAATACGCATGCGTGACTTAAAATTTTTTTATCAACATAACAAATAACAAGTAAAGACTTAACAAGTTACTTATTAAAAACAATAAAAACAAGTAAAGTCACACATGCTAATAAATTAGGTCATCTGTTGCCTTTTTATAAGGTTTTGAATTTGACAATTTAACAATAATACATGGCTTAACTTGTGATGCAGTTAGTTAGGTAAATATTAAATGGATATTTCTTTATGACCGTATTATTTCATGAGTAGCCATTCCAGACGATTTTTTTATAATTAAAATATTCAAATATAATTGATGTCATTGTATAGAGCTTGGTTTGACTTAAAAAATGAGGGGTCATTTAGCCTTTGAAGTTAAGCGGATCAAAAGTTATTGACCTTTTTGTAGTGAAAAAACGGGTAATTTTTTGACAAAAGGTATAGGGCTTAAGTATGGAAAATTTACTGCGAAATGGCACCGAAAATGAAAGTATTATTGACATTTGAATAACTTTTGAACCGATGATACATTTGACTTGAAATTTTCCATAGTGACCAATTAACTATAAGAAAATAAAATTCCAAATTTTTTTTTTTAGAAATCTGTCAGGATTGACCAGAAATTATCTATTTTACAGACCAGAATTTTTACTAATTTATACATTTTTAGGGTCATACTGACTTTTTAATAACTTTTGAATCGTTATTACATTTGAATTGAAATATTCTATAGCAATTCAACAACTGTAAGAAAATAAAAAACCAAAAATTTTTTTTTAAAAATCTGTCAGGATCTACCAGGATCACCTATTTTACAGACTGAGAGTTATCACTAATTACTATATTTTTGGGGTCATACTGACTTTTGAATAACTTTTGAATGGTTATTACTTTTGACTTGAAATCTTTCATAGTGATCAAAAAACTATAAGAAAATAAAAAACCAAAATTTTATTTTAAAAAATCTGTTGCGATTGTCCAGAATCATCTATTTTACAGCTGAAGGGTTTTACATTATTTTCTTAGTTTTGGAGAATAAAACTTGGGGTGATATTATAATTATACCATGTGAATATGCATAGAAGAATCATGGAATCCAAAAAATAAAACATTTGAAAACTATTGCGTAATTTACAGACTGGTCAGTGAAATAATCATATAAATTACTTTTCGGTCAGTAAATTGCTGAAAATGAGCTGTTCAAACAAATTAAACATATCAACTTTAAATAATTTGTAATTTTTTTAAAATTTTTGATATTTTTGAACCGTTATTAGATTTGACTTAAAATTTTAAATAGTGATCCAGTTTTTATTAAACCTGTTGGGATTATCCAGAATTGCTTATTTTACAGACTGAAGGGTTTCTACTTATTTAACTGTGTTATGATGAAAAAAATTATGGTTGCACTTTGCAAATATGCATAAAGGAATCATGAAATCCAAAAAATACGGTACTAGGTAAAATGCGAACTGCGAACCGCGAACTGCGAACCGGTAAAATGCGAACTTTTTTGCGAACCATTGTCCTATTGGTTGTTAATGATGTAATGTTTTATTTCCGTTACATAATTCATTTAACGGTATATTTTAAGGACTTTTAAGCGAAAAAATTAATTAAAAATAAATAAAAGGAAATTAAGTGAAACTTAAAAAAATACAATATAATAATTTTTTTTTAAAATTATTTGATAGACTGCCCGCCCAAACCAAACCCTCAGTCGATTTAGCAGCACTCCGTTGCGAGTCAGGCTATAAGATAGTCGATGTAGCAGCATTCCGTTACGAGTCAGGCTATAAGATAGTCGATGTAGCAACGCTCTACGCATGTTTTACAGTTAAAAAATAAAAAATTTATTTTAAATAAAGCTTTAAAATAGATAATTAAGAATTGGAGAGTTTTTTTATTATTATTTTTATCATAACAATAATGGTCTCTAAAATATAATGTTTTGGTTCGCAAAAAAGTTCGCATTTTACCGGTTCGCAGTTCGCGGTTCGCAGTTCGCATTTTACCGACAACCAAAAAATACATCATTTAAAAACTATTGCATAATTTTCAGACCTGTCAGTAAAATTATTGCATAAATTACAGACCGGTCATTAAATTACAGAAAAAGGAATGCACAAACCAATTGGGCATATCGACCTTAAATTTATATGATATATTTGAACAGTTATTATATTTGACTTGAAATTTTAAATAGTGTACCAGTTTTTATTGAATCTGTTGGGATCATACAGAATCGTCTATTTTACAGACTGAAGAAATTATCCAGAATTGTTAATTTTACAGACTGAAATGTTTTATTTATTTACCTAGTCTTTTAAAAATGAATTTGGATTTAAATCTTTTAGAAAAAAAAGAAAAAAATTTAGGTTATATTATAAAACTTCATGCTATATGCATAAAGGATCGTGGAATTCAATTAATTCATCTGTTTAAAACTATTGCTTTATTTACAAACCGATTAGTAAATCACTGCGTAAGGGCATTGAAATAAATCATTCAGAATTTTACTATCTATTTAACATCTATTTAACAGACAGAAGATTCTTTAATAAAACTAAAATTCAAATTTGAATGAAAATAACTTGCAGCAACAGAACTTCCTGAAATTTTGAGTACTTACAACATAATAGGTGTAACAGCAGAACTCTACCTAAAATTGTAATAAAATTATTATTAAAAACAATACATCTAAATACATATAATAATACATCAAATAACATTAGATACACAATAATTTAAAAAAAATATTTGTTAATTCATTTTAAAAGTTTAAAATTAAAAAAAGTTATAAATTAACAATTAAAACTAAATAAATATAAAATAAGAAACTTATTTTTTGAGATTTGTGAACTATCGACAACACCTAAGATGAAAAAATGAAAACAACATTAAAACAAAAAATATTGTTTGTCTAAAATTTATCTCTTGGCTTTTAGTGAATGATTAGAAGTAGTTTCAGTAACGAAACAACCTAATAATCATTTTTAACGATAGACACCAGCGAGAAGGTAAGCCAAGTTGTCTATCAACACAAAACATCACAACAATAAGATCACAATCACAAAACACACAGACCCTGTGGCACTAAACGCTGCAAAAAACGCTGGGGCAGATATTCTAATGACGCCCTTTCTCTTTTAGACAAGGAGCAAAAATGCATTGTAAAAATGCATTGTTGGACCTGCTCTTGCAGCCAACCTCTAACCATTATCACATCGTTGTAATGGTGCTTCTCCTTCTCTTTTCTACAAGTATGGGCACTGCTCTAAATAGCTAGAGTCCCTTGTTTATCTGCTAAAATTCATTCTCTTGTGACTGTTTCTAAGTGCTCCAAAAACTCTTATTCTTTTATTTTTTTCCTCGAACATCAGTTCTTTGGAATTCGCTTCCTTTATCTTGCTTCCCTGTTTCATATAATTTGCAATCTTTTAAGTCAACTGTCAATTGTTATCTTACTCTACAAACTTCATCTTTTCTCTTCCAGTAACTTCCAACTCCTACAATGATTGCTTGCAGCCTAGTTTGGTTACTGTTGTTTCAATGCTGTGCCACAAGATCAACAGACACAAATATAAATAAAAAAAACAAAAACTTGATCAAAATGACTAACCTGCATTATCAAATGAAATTATAGTTATTCCACAGTTCCAACAAAAGAGTAAGATACATATAATGACTTACAGGTAGATAAACACAAAGATACACATATTGACTAATGGCTACATAAATACAAACATACATATAATGACTTACGGGTGGGTCAGCACCGCTCCAGAGGTCCAACAGAACACAAACATACACATAATGACTGATACATAAGGTACATAAACACAATAGTACATAGTAACACATAAAGTACAAGTACAAAGTAAACACAATAGTACATACAAAACACATAGGTACATAAACACAAACATACATATAGTGACTTACGGGTGCGTTAACACCGCTCCAGAGGTCCAACAGAACACAAACATACACATAATGAGTAACAGGTATACAAACACAAACACACATATAGTGACTTATGGGTGTGTCAACACCGCTCCAGAGGTCTGACAGAACACAAACATACACATAATGACTAATGGATACATATACACAAACATACATATAGTGACTTACGGGTGCGCCAACACCGCTCCAGAGGTCTAACAGAACACAAACATACACATAATGAGTAACAGGGACATAAACACAAACATACATATAGTGACTTACATGTGCATCAACACCACTTCAGAGGTCCAACAGAACACAAACATACACATAATGACTAACAGATACATAAACACAAACATGCATATAGTGACTAACAAGTGAGTAAAAACAAACATGCAAATAATTGCAGACACACCTACAAAAACATACATGCAAACACAAAAAAATGTAAACACAAGGATACATATATTGACAGGTATGTCAGCACAAAAATAGAAAGCATGACATACGGGTATGTCACCATGACGGCAGATGTTCAATAGAAAACAAATATACATATAAAGAATTGTTGGTGCGCCAACACCGCTTCAGATGACCAAACAGAACACAAACAAGAACACATTAAATTGAATGACAATAAAAATAATAATAATAATATTATTAATAATAAGAATAATAACAAACATAAATACAATAAATTAAATCCCCATTGTGTCAAAAATGATATTAACTGCATTTTTGTTTTTTACAAACTTCGCCCTCCACATAACCATCAGTTTTTCCCTCTACCACAACACATTTCATCCTCCACTCTTTGACCAACTCAATGTCATACTTATCTTCATATCCATCATATAGTATCTGAAACTCACACTCTTCATCAAATTCATTGTCGTCTAGAACACTTACCACGAGCCCTGAATACCATACATCCTTGCCATCATTATCTACCACTTTATGTTTTATTCTTTTTCCTAAAAACTTTGGAACCCCTCCCTTTAATGTGCCTGTTTTTATTTTACTTCCAGTTTCCATAATTAACCTTGCGTCACCCTCTAATCTGACTTTTTTTTTTAATGTTAACAACATTTCTTGTCTTTCATTAATCTGTCTGATAACTGAACATTTTATTGCAGTTGCGCGTTGTTCAGGAACGTCTTTTAAAAATTTAAAAATTGATATCAGATTGGTTTTTAATTTATCAATACCAAATTTTTTGTAATACTCCCCTTTTGCCTTTTCTCCTAATTGTAACCACTTTTCTGGAAATTTTTGCTGTAATACTTTTTTTCGAAATTTAATTTGTCTTTGCAACTTCATTACAATTTCATTTTCAGTTCCTAAAATTTTTTCAAAATCCTCTTCACACAAAATTAAACCACCATCCTTTCCGATTTCTGTTGTCAAAAACTCTTTCTCTTTGCTTGCCTTTTGTTCCTTTATTTCCTTTTCTAAGTTGCGCTTGTCTATCTCATCAATTTTGTACTGCAATATATTTGCTTTTTTCTCTCTGTATTTTCTTATATACCCTTTTCTATTTCGCCTTGCTAATATAACTAGCCTTTCAATTTCTTCCTGTAATTTTCCATCTATTCAATCAGCTGTTTTGTTGTTGTTAAACATGATCACACCAGCTGCAGCTACTGTTGTCATGTTAGGTTTCATTTTTAACCTGCGGTCATGGGAAGCAAAGTCACGTTCAGACACAACATTAGTACATGGGCAGTTTTGAGTTTTTTCAAGCACATCATCACCCGGATTGTGATATTTTCCTACAGGCAATTGGTATCTTAACTGACTCTAAATCATAACCAAACATGTGCAACATATAACTTCAAGACATTCTTGTGTTAAGGCATCCAAAAGTAGGTCATTACAATCAGAAAATAAATGATCAAACACTTCATCCTTGGTGAGATATTTTACATCAAAAAAGGTAGAACCGACTAACATTTTTGATGCATCAGAAAAACAAGAAACAAAATAATTGAACATTTGCAACCAAATGGTATTTAAAGAGAAAATATGACCCTCCTCTTCAATAATACGAAAAAGAGGTCCTGATATCAATTTATTAAAAATTCCCAGAGAAATTTGAACCACCAAGATTGAAAACAAATTCTTTAAGGTGGTCTTTATGATAATACATTGCTCCACCAAGTACAAATATAATATTTAAGCGATGATGCAGAAATGAAACCATAAAATTTTTTGTAAACCTTTTACGCAAAAATGCCTTCCATTCATCAGCTTTTCCATTTTGCTGATCACCATGCCGATAGCTTGTAAGTTTTAAAAGTTCATACAAAATATCAAAGGTGCGAGAGTTTTGAGAACTTTTAAAACCACCATGAATACTACCTTCCTGCTCAACCACTTTTTCCCATTCTATTATTGCTTTTTCTGCATATATTCCTAGATTGTGGATAACGTGTAAGCCACAAAAAACATGATGCATTTGAGAAATTTTTAATTTTTCATTTAAAGGAAGCTGATCATAGTTTTCAATAACAAAAGGCAAAATTGTTTCTCTCCAATGTTTAAATTGGTGAAAAAAACTTGAATTAACAATAGTGCGATCTGTCATCAAAGATTTGAAAGAAAAAATAAGTTTCCTAAGATCATTCTCGTAGTTTTCCTTGTCAGGAGAAAATTTCTTAGACATATCAGTGAGTAAGTTTTTTAGCTCTCCAAAATGAGATTGTGCCTCTCCCGAAAACATATCTTCTATCCCAAACGTGTAGCTACCAGATGATGTTGTGACTTGAAAACTACCAACCTCTCTAAAATTATATTTTGAGCCATCTGTATGAAGAACATTGTTTGTACTATTCAACATAGCCTCTCTCACTTGAGCTTTTGCTAAAAGGTTCATTTCACTAAAAACTTCAGAAGCCAAAGATTTTTTTGGAAGTGTGCCACATGAAATTCCAGCCATTTTTTGTAGTACAGTTCTGATAACAGATTCAACATTATTAACAGAAACATTTTTACTTAAAAGGTCGTAATATACCGAGCAAATTTCATCATTATATCTACCTCCTTCATAAACGTCAATTACATTTTTTTCAAAAATGTCAACTCTTTCCTTCAGCTCTTCTGTAAGATTTTCAAAGTAATTCAAACTCTCCTTTAAGAATAAATCATTTGTTTCATCAGATGTTTTCAAAACAGTGTTTTCAATTTTTTTCTTTAAATACCAGGAAATAACCTCAGGAAATAAATTCACCAGAAAATAAAGGTAGCTTTTTATCTAAATTGGAAACTGGAAGATTCTCTTCACTAAAACGCATTTCAGTAAGAAATTTTTCAGACCTATTTTCTACAGGGATGTATATAATAGAAGTTGGGGTAACAAGTTACGACAACTCATCATTAGTAATTTGCAAATTTAAATCAGAAGATACAAAAACAGTAACTTGATTTGGAACAATTTCACTATTGTAGATAGAAGTAGGGGTAGAACAAGCATCAGAAGGTAACAAACCAACAACATCAGAAAAAGCACCATTAAAAGATAAAGCAGAGCTTAAAAAATGTTTTTTGAAGTCCAAATTTTTGGCTCGATTTAATTTTACAAAGTAACCTTTTAACTTTTTTAAGATCCTTATAAACATCACTCTAGAGATATTATACTTACAGTAGGTTGTAAAAAATAATGAAAGATTTTCTAATGTTATGTTATGTTTATTTTTGTCTTTGCAAATTTGTAGAAAATGGCTATTGGTTAACACAAAATCAGGATATTTGAGACAAATAATGCCATCATATATATCCAGAAAATCCAAAATATTCTTGCAGGTTGCTATTTCAGACAACACTTTGGTAGCTAAAATTAATATTAAATTTAATTTGAGTGATTACAATAAATCTATTGTTAATCAAAGAGTTGAAGTTTGATAATATCTAGCTTTGTGAAAATAAAATAAAGATAGATCATCAAGCTTAAGATTCTATAAATAAAATTATTGAAATATAAAATGTTTGTTATACATTTTTCCGGATTTAAAAATTTAAAAAGTCTATCAAAGTATGACTTACATTCTTGACTTATAGATTGAACCACCATTTCACGTAGATTGTTAAGTTCACAGCCTAAAGAAGAGAATTTGAATTTGAAATTAAAGTTCATTGGTTATTTTACTTAGTTAATAAAAAAATATAAAAATAAATGAAAAAAAAAAAATGATAACATTCTTACACATTTCCATTTTGTAAACTTTAGACTAAAAGTTTAGTTGACTACTATTTCTTTTTGTTTTGAAAAAAACAGTTTAGAGAATCTACAGACTAAAAACAGTAGTAGAAACAGTGAGAATCAAGCTTGTAGTTGACCAATTCAGACAAAATACCTTTAAAAATATAAAATCTTTATTTTTATTGCCTTGAAAACTTAGGTCATTAATAAGGAATATACTTTCACTTTCAATTTTATTTGTAGTTAAAATTTCGGAATTGCAAAATCAAAACAAAAAACGTCATAAAATACGCGAAGAAATTTAGATGTATATATACATAACTCTAATATACAAATCCGAAGCACCTATTTTTTAAGAAAACATAATTAAACACTTGTTTTAAAAAGAGGAAAGGCTGAATTTGCCATTTCCACTTGAACACTTTCAAAAATCACTTTTTTTTCTATAATAATTAACCTTGAAGTTTTTAAACACTGAGAACTAAAAATTTATGTATAAATGTTAAAAAGTGTTCACATTCCATTAGATTCCTCAACCTTTTTTTAATATATACGGAAAGTTTTATAAAAATTGGATCTGTTTTGGTACTTCGGAATCCTTACCTTCAAAAGCTTCGTTTTAAAAAAACGTTCCCGCTTCAAGATTTTTTCTCAAAAGTGGTCTCAAGATATGGATAATATTTAAGTGAAGCCATGTAAAGCATAGTACTTTTCATATATGGCTGAAAAGAGGTTGAGTAACACTAATTGATGCAAAAAACCTGAGGTTGCTTGCTTTCCTATACAAAAAGATATAAGAGAGCAAACTTCATGAAAATTTCGTGTTTTTTGTCAAACGTCAAATGTTTTTCGCTGAGCCGTGGAATCGCTATCATGAGTGTGGATTACAAGTAGAGACTACTTGATATATTATATAAATATAAAATATATATTATATATGTTTTTCTTATTTATATAATACATACATATATATATATATATATATATATATATATATATATATATATATATATATATAATATATATATATATATGTATATATGTATATATATATATATATATATATATATATATATATATATATATATATATATATATATATACATATATGTATATATATATATATATATATATATATATATATATTATATATGTTTATTATATTACATATACATACTATATATATATATATATATATATATATATATATATATATATATATATATATATATATATATATATATATATATATATTATATATGCATATTATATATATGTATATATATATATATATATATATATATATATATATATATACATATATATAATATGCATATATAATATATACATACACTATATATGTATATATACATACATAATATAAATATATATAATGGATGATGTTTTACAAAATAATGATTTATCAAGCTTTTTTACCAATCAATGTGATTTAAAGAGTTTAAATATTTTTTATATTAAAAAATTTTTATTAAATTTTTAAAGATTTTTCTTGTAAAGTTGTATAAAAAAGAATTTGTCAATGCTTCTTTAGTCCATAATATTGGTAGAAAGATCAACATAAAAATTTAGCAAATTTTAGCAACTGTATAATGTATCATAACGTACAGTTTATAGTTGTATTTTTCTGTTAGCTATTTTACATGAACAAATTTTTAATATATAAGTATTTTTTCTATTATAATTTCTACTATACTTTTCCAGTTGAAAAAGTATAGTAGGGCATGCAAAATGTTCATTCGAGCTGTTTGGATAGAAAATACAGAGAAATAAAGAGAGAAAATTCGATTGATAATTTTTTGTGCTGCTCGTCATCTTTAAATGTAATAAATTGTTTCAATGAAATGCATAAACCGCATCTAACTAATACAGATTTAAGCTGCTCAAAATTTAATGTCATGGAGATAATGTAATTTTTTTTTAATATAAACCTTAAGTCATTACTTTTTTTCCTTGTTTTTTTAACATGCTTTCATTCTGTATATGTTGTTTTCAGTGTTTAGATATATTCTTTATTATATATTCTTTATTATATAATGTTTTTAAAACATTTTTAAATTGAATGAATATTCTTAGATCATGAGTTATGTAATAAATTTGAATTTGCCTCTATAAGTGATACTCAGATAGAATCAGGTTCAGAAAACAGTAACTATTTCAAAAGATACTTAATTCAAGTATTATTAGTTATATTTTGATATTAATTATTATAGGAGCCACTACCATGCTTATGCAAGAGAAAACATAATAACCAACAGAATAGTAAGCAAATACCTACTCCTGTAACACAAAAAAAGAAACAGAAAACATTTTTTATGCATACTCCACATACTGTAGCTCAAGGTATTAATTGTCTGTCTGCAAGTTGATTTAGGAAGAAAAGATTCTGAACATTTTTTTTCTATGCTTCAGTGATTTATACATTTCTTTGGTTGCTAAATTAATACATTTTATTTAATTTATGAATAATGTTTTATTTTATAAATTTTTTGTTTTTGTGTTTCAACACTTTTAGAAATTAATTAATGTTTGGTTCTTTTGTCTTTCTGATATATCTTTATTGTTAGAAAGAGATGTTAGTAAAAACTCTTTCCAGTAATTAAAGTAATATCATGACAAATAGTTCTGAAATTCTTATGGATAACAGTTTAAATGATTCTTGGGTGAGGTCAGAACTGATAGGCTGTTTCAAACCATGACTTTTTGCAGTTTTTTTATTGTTTTTTGATTAAGTATTTATTAATAACTTAGCCTAAGTTAATCTACTTGTAACTTTTTATAAATGTGCTATAAAAATAATGTGGTGTAATTATTTTCTTAAACCTTTAGGTTAACAAACTTTCTAAAATTAGAGGTAAAACCATTAAGAAAAATACAAATACATGTGATGCAAAGGTTTGTTAAAAGTAGTTTTAAATAAAAAATCTTTTGAATCTTTTTTATAGTTTGTTTTAAACTTGTGTTAAAAATCTGTGTAGCATATATTTTTAAAAGTTTGACGAATTCTAATCAGACATAAAATGAATCTTTTTTTTTTATGTCTGATTATAATTTTTTTGTAACTGTTTTCTCTTACTTTTGTATTTCCTTGAGCTAAAGAACAACCTTAAAGTACAAAGGTTGATTTGTAACGCATGCTTAACCTTTTTTTTTACTCTATATATACATGCATATATATGTACATACATATATATGTATGTATATATACATACATGTGTGTATATAAACATACATGTATGTATATAAACATACATATATATGTATGTATATATACATACATGTGCTTATATGAATATATTATATATATATATATATATATATATATATATATATATATATATATATATATATATATATATATATATATATATATATATATATATATATATATATATAATATTAATAGTGCAATTTAAAGTTTTTTCTTTTATTTATAAAGTTGTACTTGATAAAAACAAATAAATAAAGATGAACATTTTGAATATTTATTGATTATTATGATAAATTATATAAAATACAGTCGTGTGACAATTTATTATGGCCACCCACAATTTTTCAAAATTATCAAGTTTCAAAGTCTATTATTTTAGTATTTTTTTGTGATTTATGTACTCAAAGTAACTTTTATTTAAGAAATGGGTATTTTTTTGACAAATAAAAATATTTAACATATTGTTTATTATTTTATTATTAAAATATTATTAAATAAATTTTATTATTCAAATTAAATAAATTTTATTATTCAAATATTACTGCAAATATATTCAAGATCAATATTTGGTGATTCCTCCTTTGCCTCTATAATTGCAAGAACCCTTTTTGGCATACTTTTAATGCATTTTTGAGCCATTTCCTTCAATTCTTTATTATAGTTCCAATGTTGAAAAATTCTTTCTATTAAATACACTTTATTTGTAATAATTTTTTCAGATATTTGCTTCTTTAGGAGCGCCCAAACATTTTCTATAGGATTTAGGTCAGAAGAGTTTCCTGGCCAATTAAGTAATGGAATATTTTGTTCTGATAGATATTTTTTAACTGATTTAGCTGTGCGACATGGTCATGCCCTGTCCTGCATGAAGGCTTTTTTTTCACCTGGACTAAACTATTCTGCCAATTGTGACAACAATCTTTGTTCCAGCATTTTTATATTGTAACTGTAACATTTTTCATTCTGCAATATAGAACCTTCCTATTTCTTTTACACATTTCATTGATCAGATCATCACAGAGGTGGGGTGTTTAACAGTTTGCATGATGCAGTCCAATAAGTATTTTTTCCTTAAAAGTACTCTCGCCGCTAAAGCATACCTTCAAATATTATACAAGGATTGTTAAGTGAATATTGAATGAATATTTAAAGTTTGGTGTAAGAAAGTGGATATTTTAAATTCATCTAAATTAATTTTATTAATTACCAATCATATGTTAAATTCCTATACTTTTTTGTCCACTCAAGCATTTTTTGTACAATTTTTGGTGTCAGTTTAGGCTTCTTAGCTGGACGTCGTGAAATGTAACCAAGATTGTGTAGGCAATGTTGGACCGTTCTCTTCAACATTTTGACTCCAGATTGGCCCAGCTTATTAGTTATTTTGTTGGTGGTGGCCCGTCTATTTTCTAGAACAATCTTGGTAAGTATTCATTTCCTGCATGGTGTTAGGATTCTCTTCTTTCCACATTTACCAACCCTCTTTGGCATCAAGTTCTCCATATTAGCATTTTTTTGTGTATATTTTGTACAGATACCCGCGAAATACCATATTTTCTGGCTATTTTTCATTGAGAATGATCAGTATTTATTAAAAGTGCCCTGATTTCAGCAATTTTTTGTGACAAGTTTTTTTTTTCCCTCATAACTAAAATAAGATATCACATATCAGTATCACATAACAGTTAAGAATTTGCTTTGGTACTCATAACTTTAAAAATATCAAACTAAATACAACTATTTTTAATTTAAAATAAAAAGAAATATTCAAGAATTTTTTACTGATTTAAATAAGTAATATGACGATAACCTAATAAAAGATTTCAAAACTCTGGTAATAAAACTTAACAAGTGTACAGCAAAAAGATTATAATTAAGATGACATTATACAAAATGGCTGTCAAAAGTGACAGTGTTGCCAGTAGCAAAAAAAAAAGCATTGATTTTATAAGTTAAAACTTTATTTTAAACAGAAGATTAACTTTCAATAATGAATTTTTACTCTTCATATGAAAAAAATGAGATTAAATTTCAAAATGATCAAAACTCATAGGTGGCCATAATAAATTATCACACAACTGTATATATAAAGTATAAATATTTTGCAAAAACACTTTTATTTGCAATAACTGCTTCATTGCATTGTGGCATGCTTGCAATTTATTTTTTATAGTTTCTGTCAACTCTGGGTTATTATGCTAGATCTTAATAATCTCTTCCATAAGATCTTGCTTATTAGTAAGATTTTTTTTTTCCAATCTCTTGCTTTACTATTTCCCAAATATTTTCTATGGGGTTAAGATCATGCGAGTTGTCTGGCTATAGCAATACATCAACTAAGCCATAACAGTTTTTATTGTGTGGCAAGTTGCACCATCTTGCATAAATATAAGATTTTTGACATTATTTTTAAATTTTTTTGTCAATTTTTGACATTTTTGGCTGGACATCAATCCCTCTTCTTTTAGCATTCTACAAATGGTCTGGTCTGACACAACAATTACAGCTTCATGGATAAGCTTAGTGGCTTTTTTTCTCTTTTCCAGGCAGATATTTCTGATTATACTGTCCGCTCTTGGTGTTTTCATGCGTTTAGAAGGTGGTCTCCTTGGACCAAA